GCGCGTGTATGTCACTCATTGTTTACACAGAGATTTCAGAAGTGTTACCCTTCACTGTGAAGATATAAACATATCTTAGATATACAAGAAATTGCAATGGAAGATGATTTCGATATATCAACAGACAACGTTGATTTTTTTTTTCTTTCACAACCGCGCGAGAGATCACTTCCGACACTTTCCGGCACTTGCGCAGACCGAAGCGCCCGTGCCTTTACATCATTTGTACGTGGCTGTGGTTACAAGAGGTAAAAATTATATAAATACTGTTTGTTTTCTCACACAAACCGCTCGTTTCGTGTCTTAGGCCATCAATGTGTACAAGTCATTAAATCATGTTTAATTTGGACTTCTGTGTGCATGCTCTTTGAGGTGGACCCCATAAACCTCCATTATATGACTGACAGACAAGAACGGTTTGACCTAAAAATTTCAAAATTGAAAATACTGTGGAAACAAAGACACCTACATCTTGGATGCCCTTGAGGGAAGCTAAAACATATCAAAATTAATTTCAAAGTGAACTATCCCTTTAATATATCAGAGCTCAGTGTTAAGATTTTTTTTTCTATTGGCCCAGTCAAAAATGCACAAAAAAATTATTGTTCTACGGGCATACTTTTGGCATACTTTTTGGTGAGCACGCTGTCTGAAACGGCTTTCTGTGCGCACGATTGTATGTGTGTTTGTGTGCGTGTCGCACAGATAGGAGTACTGCATTCTCTTTTGTGTCTTATTGCACTTGAATGGTTTAATTTAAGCATTTGCATGAATAAGAGCGTGATATTAGTGTTGCTATCACTTGATGGTGGATCTGGTGAACAAGCCAAATATTGATTTTGAAGATGTTGAGAGTGATACTTTTGAGAATATGTGTAAGAAAGACTCGTATTTAAGGGTTAAATGTGTGCAGGGCGACAAGCTTCAGTCTTGTGGTGAGCGCTTGGCATTAGTGAATGAGACCCAATATCTATTACACACACACACTGTTCAGATTCTGCCTGTCGAAGTATACAGAAGGCAGTCTGTTAACTGCTCTGCTGCTCAGCGTTCTCTGCAATCACTGTTTTCTCTGTCAGCGTTCGCTCTTTAATGGCCTGCTTCTATATCAGCTCCCCCTCTTGTGCCTATAGGAAATGTGCCCTGCTTTTTTTTTTAGTATGTTAACTACAAAAAATAAACAAACAGACACCTCTCGGTCCTCGCTTGGTCTGCTCTCTCTGCACTTGTGGGCCTGAAGGGCTTTGTGTTGTTTTGCTGCCAGGATGATCAATGGCTTGTTTGTGAGACTGGGGAGAGATGGCCCTGACCACACAGCCGCAGCGAGTGGGGGGAGATTATGGAGGAACGTTGGGCCGGTTGGGGAACGCTGTAGCCTGCACCTGTCGCTGAGTGTTGCTGGGGGTTTAGCTGGGCCAGAGAGCCGGGCACCGCTTCACAGGAAGCCGAGGCTTGTTTCTCAACCTTCTCATGACACGCACCTCCTCCTCCTTCTACCCATAGTCGCGGCCTGGGCTTGTGTCACCAGCCAGGAAAGGATAAACTTGGCTGTTTTTGTGACAATCATTTAGATTTTTTAAAATGACTTTACCACTTTTATTCAGCAAGAATGTTAAACTGATCAAAAGCGACGTTATAATGATTTATAATAATACAATTCATTCTATTCATCAAAATATCTTGAAAATTTGTATCTATAAAAAGTATCCTTTAAAAAAAATATTTTTTTTTTGTTTTAGAAAAAAAGATTAAGCAACACAACAGTCTTTCACATTGATAATAATAAGATTATATTTTTTTTCTTGAGCAGTAAATCAGCAAATTAGAATTAAAATTCAACTTTGCCATCACATGAATAAATTACATTTAAAAATGGAAAACAGTTGATTTAAATCATAATAATATTTGTACTGTATTTGAACTGTATTTTTGACATGAGATCTTTCAAAAACATTTAAAAAATCTTACCGGCCCCAAAGTTTTGAATGGTTATGCAAAGATATTTTTACACTATTTACAAATTAACTACATTTTCTTTGAATTTTATGAATTTTAATTCATCTTCTTTTAATAAACAACACATTTTTAAAACTTTTTTGTGAATTTTTATTAAAGATTCTGTAAAATAATTCTGTTTTCATTTAATATACACATTTCTGGAGCTCAGTAAATATTGTGTAATATCAAGGTTTATTTCATTACAGCAGCTTTGTGTGTATGTATCATTTGTTATCATTTGAGTAAAAACACTACACAAATAAAACTAACTCACCTGTCACTTACACACTGATGCTCAAACCACTGATACTGGCTCAAGTTCAGTCAGGTTCTATGTGTAAGGTCTAAAAGTGTGACCTGTCTAACTCCACAAGCTTGTCAAGGATTTAAGGTAGCAAATTCGCTCAGTCCATTGCTCCCACTGTCAGAAATGTGAGGGCAGAACATGTGCTGCCTGCATGCTTGGGATGACTGAAAGCCTAGGCTGATGATGTCATGTGTCAATCTTCCTGACTCATCATTTTGTCTAATTGAGCATTGAATCATGGGATAGGGAGAGGCCCTTTCCCTCCCTTAACTGCCTGATTCCACATTCCACTTTAATCCTGAGCTAATACTGCCTAATTCTCCAGCACACGATCACACCACCCCAGAGGCCATGATTGTACACACACGCTACAGCCAACTACTCACCAAATACTTGCCCACTGTGGTTCCTTACTCACGTACGCTCACGCAACCCCTCCACGTTGGTACATCACTGCACCCTGCATGCTACTTGACTCATAATCGCACAGGCATAGTTTCGGCTCGGCCCACACAGACGCTGACCCACTGGGTTCAAACGCCCATCATTTGATAATCTTTCAGATTTGTCAGAGGTTGGCACACGTGCTCCGACATAAATAGGGAGCAGATTCTTTTAGTGTTTCAGAAACATATGGCATTCCCGAATTAATTTCTTTTTTTATTGAATCAAATCTGCACTGCTCTGCAAATGTGGACTGATTCCCAAAATAAATGACTCTTATGTGTTGGTTCTTTTAAGTGAGTAGAACAAACACTACCATTCTGAAGTTTAGGATCAGTAGGCAACATTATATTTATATATTTAATATTTATATATACTGTATATATATATATATATATATATATATTTATTTAAGCAGCACAACTGTTTTTAACATTGATAATAATGAGACACTGGAGTAGACTGGAGTAATGATTCTGAAAATTCATTGTTGCCATCACAAGAATAAATTACATTTTAAAATATGTTCAAATAGAAAATAGTTATTTTAAATTGTAATAATATTTCACAATGTTCCAGTTTGTACTTTATTTATTTTTTTGTCAAACTTAGTCAAAGACTTCTGATCACAAACTATGAAACTGAAGTTAATGTGATTCGTGTGACAATATAGTTGGGTGGAAACAATTTGTTTTGTCAGTAGTATTTTGTAAACATTTATTATTTTATTTAGTATATTTTTCTTTATTTTTTAAAAGATTTCAGTGTTATTGGCATTTTATTAAATGTATTATGTGACCCTGGAACACAAAACCAGCCACAAGTAGCACGGGTAAATTTGCAGCAATAGCCAACAATACATTGAATGGCTCAAAATTATCGATTTTACTTTTATGCCAAAAATAATGAGGATATTAAGTAAAAATCATGTTCCATGAAGATATTTTGTAAATTTCCTATACCCTAAATATTTAAAACATTTATTTTTGTAAAGTGAATGCAGCACAATCACAAACCTAAATGAACAACTTTAAAGGTGATTTTTCTCAATGTTTAGATTTGTTTTACACACTCAGATTTATTAAATATTTATTTTATTCTAAATATTGTCCTCTCCTAACAAACCATACATCAATGGAAATCTTATTTATTCAGCTTTCAAATGATGTATAAATCTCAATTCCAAAAATGTAACCATGTGACTTGTTTTGTGGTCCAGGGTCACATTATTATTAGTAGTATTTATTGACATCATAATTAGGTAATAGAATGGGGGATTTAAAAAAAAAATATATATATATATATATATATCACTTTAGTGTGTTTTGGGCAGTTTCTGTAAGTTTTGCATTCAGTTGCTAAGGCTGCTTGTTGCTATGCCGTTGTTGTGATGTTCTGAGATGTTGCCAACCTTTAAGTCTTCCTGGTATTCTAGTCCCTAGATATGACTCAGATTCCTTCAATGAAGGTCTGATCATTTAAAGTAATAGCGCACCTTGTTTCCGCTTGGCTGTAGTTATGGCTGAAAGAATTCATTCCTTTTGCATCCTCTTCCTCCATCTCTCGTCCGACACCTTCACCTCCATCAGCAATACAGTCAGCCCTGACGACACGTCATCCCTTTTTAAAGGGTGAATCACCAGCCATAGTTCACATCTGTTCTCAGCTCAAAGAACCTAACCAGGGAAAACAAGCAATTACCGGTGGGCTTTTTCAATCAACTCTTTGGCGAGTCAGCTGGGGGGGGGCTTGGGATGGAGGGAAGGTGGGCGGAGGAGATAATTAGACGTGGTTAAAAATATCCCAGCTCATTGTCTCCGCTGTCCCACATCCTCAGATAAGTATGTGGCTACTGGCGCAAGAATCATGTGCTACTGGGAGGAATGTTTTGAATGCTTGAGATTGTTGCGTGCAGCTGAACGGCTGCTGAGACTCACATGACCGGGGTCGACATGCTTAGTAGAAGCTGTTTGTATGTTTTGACTTCTCAGGACAAGATGAAGATGCTAATAGCTAGCCACGTTTCTAAATCATGTTCATTCTCACACTTTACACATGCATTTTCACATTTGTTTGATCAAATTCATGTATTTTCATGGTTTAAATGCTTTTTCCCCCCAAAAAATGTACTTGTAGTCCCTCCAAATATTGAATCATTGATACATACTGCAGTTGTTTGTTTCTGCCTATATCTGAATATGTACAAGGTTGGTAAAATAACAAATATTTATACAATTTCCTGTTTCTGCAGCCTTCACTTCCTGTCCTGTATACTCTATCCAGTCAAGCAACCCATGAGGCCGTTCACCTCCTCTGCAGGATGTTGGTCTTTGACCCAGTAAGTGTTCTTGATACTCTATTCTCTTAAACTTAAGATTACAAGACCATATATATATATATATATAATTTTTTTTTATCTAGAGAGCTATTTTGTTTAAAATTATATTAAAATGGCTACATTTATTATTTAATTTAATATATACAGTGTATATATAATATGTCATTTCATTTTAAAATATAAGTAAATTAATACATGTATTTCTATATTATTAAAATGAAATTTTATTTTATTATGTAGAGTATATATTTTTTGATATACAAAATATTAAATAAAATAATATGATTTTTTATAGATTATTAAAATGAAACTTTTTTCTGTTATTAATAATTCAAAATATTTTATATAATTTATATTAATTTGTAATATAAACATTTTATTTTCAATTTAAAAAATATCAGTAAAATAGATTTTGAAAAGGAAATTTGCAAATCAGAGCAATTCTGTTCCCCAATCCAGTCGAAGCGGATCTCTGCGAAGGACGCCCTGGCGCACCCGTATCTGGACGAGGGGCGTCTGCGCTACCACACCTGCATGTGCAAATGCTGCTACACCACATCCTCTGGCCGCGTCTACACCAGTGACTTTGAGCCTGTCACCAACCCCAAGTTTGACGACGGCTTTGAAAAGAACCTGACGTCAGTTCGGCAGGTCAAAGGTTAGCGCAACGCTCTCCCCTGTTGATGGTGATTCATTCAGCTCTATTACGCATTGTGCTGATCACAGTGCATTTTACACTACACGTGAGCCAATTGTTCCTCTATTAATCTACACTTTTATCCTGATCCACCTTCGGTTTGTAAAAACGACGAATATAAGAACTAAAGGTCTTAATTGGACCTATTTGAGAGAATAGGCCCATCATGTCACTGCATGTTAATCAAAAGTCTTGCTGGGCGTCTCCTGCTCCAGATCCCCTGCTGCTCCTGTTGTTTTTCTGCCTTGTTTTCACCCTTCATTCGGGGCCCCTGGATCTGTGCTTGCCTTCCACTGTCAGTGGGTATTAGTGAGAGTCTGTCGCTAAAAGCAGGCTTACTGTGCTGTCGGCTCAAAATAACTCTGCCCTTCACCCTCCCTCCTCATCCTCCATCCTGTGTGCAACGTGTTTCCACTGGAGGATTAATCGGTGCGGATGGAGCCGACCGCCTAGAGACCTAAAAAGAGCTTTAGGGTAGGCAGCCGTGTTTGGAAAGCGAGGGGAACCCCTTTTGGATCGGCACACGAGTTTCCACGTTGCCAGAGCTGGTTTAAGCTTAACGGCTCGTCTACTAAATTAAAGAGTGCAGCGTTTTAGAAGATATTACAGATATTAGTCTGCCTGTGGCATATTCCTTCAAAATCAACTCTTTGACCTGAAATTTTACTGCTAAAATAGATCTTCACTTCGTTCATAGTTTAGATTTGGACTCCTACTCTGTAAAGAGTGTCATCCAAGCCAGTTACATCGCTCCACCTTCTTTGTTACAGGGAATGACAAACTTGTCATTTTTGTTTAAACTATGCCTTTAACAGGTAAACAGGTTTAGCTTGCTGTATACTTGTTAAAGGGTTGGTTCAACCAAAAATTAAGTTCCAGTCATTAATTACTCACCCTCATGACGTTCCATAGACCTTTCATCTTCAGACCACAAATGAAGATATTTTGATCAAATCCAAGAGCTTTCTGACCCCCCCATAGACTGCAACGTTATTACCACTTTCAAGGCCCAGAAAGGTAGTAAAGATGTGGTTAAAATAGTCCATGTGACTACAGTGGTTCAACCTTAATTTTATGAAGTGACAAGAATATCTTTTGTGTGCAAAAAAACACCCAAAATAACGAGTTTGCTCAACTGTGTTCTCCTCCGTCAAAAAAATCTGTCATCATTTTACTCACACTCATGTTATTCCAAACCCATATTTTCTTCGACATGAGCACAGGAAGAAATTTTGAACCATGGTTGCATGTAACTTTTAAACTGTGATTATTTACAACTGCAACCTGTTATTATTGCTTATTTCTCATCATCCTTCCTCTTTTTCCCTCACTATAGAGATCATTCATCAGTTCATCCTGGAACAGCAGAAGGGGAATCGGGTACCACTGTGTATCAACCCCCAATCCGCTGCCTTCAAAAGCTTTATCAGGTGAGTCCTCCCTTTTTTTGTTCATACTCTTTCATTTTATGGGTGAATCTCAAGATCAAATGTTCAGGTCATATTTACAAAAAAAAAAAAAAAAAAAAAGCTTTTCCAAAAAGTGTCGGTTCATAAAGATTTTAGATATACTGATTTAAATAATATGTAATTAATTTGTATTTAATATATATATATATATATATATATATATATATATATTAGATAATAATAAATATTATTATTTTTCACATTACAAGAGCCGCTGATAATTGTGAGCGTGATCAGTTTTATGAAAATAATATAACAGTGCAAAGAATTTATTTTATTATAAATGAAGAGTTCAGATGCAAAAGCCTCTAAATGCCATTTGAAATTTTCTTCTTTAATGATGATTTTTATCAAACTTGTATATTTAAGTTCAGTAATTTCACTTAAATAACAATTAATAGGTAATTATCATTGCCATTTAAGTGAAATCACTGAACTTAAATATACAAGCTTGATAAAAATGATCATTCTAGAAGAAAATTTCAAATGGCACTTAGAGGCTTTTGCATCTGAACTCTTCAAATATACTTTTTATTTAAATTTTGTGAGATTCACCTTCATTTCAATGTTCCTAACCTTAGTCTTAACAGACTTGAAGTTGCCATTGCCAACAAGCAATTATTTCATATTTAGGCAAACTTTTGACATAAAAGAGTGTTTAATGTATTTTCCAACTATTACTTTAGATATCCTGATGAATCTAGTGCTTTTCAAGTATATCTTGCAACTTATTTTCCAGTGTCTCAACACTAGATGGAGACATCACCTTATCTTAAAACAAGACATAACAAACCCCTTTCTTTCTTTCTTTCTTTCTTTCTTTCTTTCTTTCTTTCTTTCTTTCTTTCTTTCTTTCTTTCTTTCTTTCTTTCTTTCTTTCTTTCTTTCTTTCTTTCTTTCTTTCTGTCCACAGCTCGACAGTAGCTCAGCCCTCTGAAATGCCTCCATCTCCTCTAGTTTGGGAGTAGCTGAGGACGGCGGAGAAGACGGCGTTGATAACAGCGGCGGAGGACGTCCCTCCCGCGTCCACCCTCGTCCCCCACGGACTACTGATCCCCAGGCTTCCCCAAACCTGCGTAGCATTGCACTGGAGTCTAGGACTAGCCATGTCGCTGATGTGTGTGTGTGTACTGTAATACTTACTAAATGGGAGTTCATAGAAGCAACCACTGCTGATGAGTTCAAGCGGGACACGGGAAGGGTGGGCCTGGTCACGGGGGGTCCGTTCGTACATACCCACTGCTCTGTAGTAGTATACTGAAGGTTCGCGCTCGTGAACCCATACTTTCGGCAGACGAAGTCGACCCCTGTGGACTTGAATGTATTTTAAACAGCAGGGCAGCAGAATCTGCGCCGTATCCCTGAAGGAAAACTCTTCACGACTATGTGTGCGAGTAAATCATGCTTTATTTATTCATGGAAACAGAAAGTGCAGTGCTTCATGTAGTATGGAAAGATTTCGTTGTTTTTTTTTTTTTGCTCATGCTAGAACCTTACTGAAAACCAGGGCCAGCCCTAAAGGTCTTCGGTAATAGCATATTCATTAGGCCAACCCACATAAATTTGTCCCGGGCCATGTCAATTTTAGCGACGGCCCTCGTAAGAACTGTGACCACTCGTTCGGCTCGAGTGAGCTGCTCATTGCGTTTATTTCCTGCAACGGCGGTGTGATTTTTATGACTTTCTTCCATCTGTGCTGTCATCTGCGCTCTTTCTCTATCCTTTCTTTCTCTATCGATCTATCTTTGTTCGCATCTCGCTTTCCGTCTCATATTCAACTTTCGTCAGTAAAAGCAAATCAGTATTCTTTAGCGCAGCACTTGGCAGAGATACTGATTCATAGATACTGTTTCATAGGTGATGTGGATGTGATGTCAGTATTTAGTACTTCGGGTGGGTGAGTTACTGAACGGCACAGCGGTTGAGGATCCAAAGCATGCGACGTTGGCTCGAAAACGAAATGCTCGTGCATAAAGGGTTTATTTGAAGCAAAGGAGACTTGGTGTGTGTGTGTGTGTGTGTGTCCAGAAATCTTGCAAGTGCTCGTCTCCTACCAAGACTGAAAACCCAACTAGCATGTAGCGACATAATAGGGTGGTTGTTCTCAGATGACCTTCGAACCCTGCTCTCCCTGATGGAGTACCTAGAATAGCATGCAAACCAAATTAAAAGCCTAAAAACTAAAAAAAATCTAAGAAATTAGGTAAATAATTGGTTGAAGTGTTGGTCAACCAAATCATTCCTTAATTGCAATGGTATATTACCAAACCTTGTCCTTGAAGACAAGTGATGAACGCCATTGTGAGTGCATGTGTGGACCCGTGCATGTTTATAACTGACTGTGGCATCACGCTGTGTATGTCAGTTCAGTGTCGTCTTCTTTGACCCCCCCTTCAAAAGCTATTTTTCTGTTGAAAGACTTGTGGAGAGGATGGATCTGAAAAGGGTGCCTGGGAAGGGCATAGGTTGTGTGTCTGGAAAGCAATTGGAAGTCGTTTTCACTCACTGTACCATGCTTAAGTTCCCCATAATGCTTTCTGCAATCTCTTACTAAAAGTAAACAAATGGAAAATATTTAATATATTTTTAGATAATTATTTTTATTTCTTCCTCAATGTGCTATGGCATGCTTTCCCATGATCCACTGAGTATGGTATGTAAATAAGCGAGTAGCAGGTAGATTTCAATAGAAACACAAAATCTACAAAAAACTAAAACAAACGACATTCAAAAAAAATCGCCAAACAACAAAAAAAAAACAACAACTATGTAATACTGCTGTATAGAAGTTCAGTTAGCCTACACATTTTTTAGGGCTGTGAAATTTTATTTTATTTTTGAGACTTGCATATAATTGTACATATTTTTTTTTCTCTCTCTCTCTTTTCTCCTTTTTATTTTCCCCCTGCACTAGAAAGTGTAGACAAAGAAATAATCCAAAACAGTATAAGTACAAAAACAAACAAAAACACATAACCAATTATGTTAATTGTGTCTTGTGTGCTGCAGAGCTGTGGATATGAGTATTGAAGTAGAGCCCTTTTTTAATTATTATTATTATTAATTTCCTTTAAAGAAACACTGAACTGTTTGTGTATATGTATATAATGGATTCACATTGTTGGTCTCTACCTCTCGAGCTCTCAATGACTTGGTTGTTTACCTCCACGCTTTTATTTTTATGTGGAGATTTAAAACTTGAATGTCCCTTCCGACTTTTATATTCCTATCAAACCCTGTATAAAGAAATCAAAGTCATTACAATTGCGATTGGTTGGAGTTGGTTCCCATCATCATATCCTTGTACAAAGTACCATATTCTCACCCCAGTGTTCTCTGACTGTTAGATCACACAGCATACTTGTCCTGCGAGACAACCTAAGATAATTGACATGGCATCCTTCACCGAGAGACATCGGATGAGATGAACGTACAAAATATGTGGCAGTTTTAGAACGTACAAGAAGCAGGCGTGTCTGAGATAACGTGCGGATTCAAACTGAGCCTGTTCGAACGGGCCAAAAGGGGAAGGTAGTACTGCACTTGCTGTCGAGTTTTATAAGGAGGTTTGAAGTTTATACTCAGAGTTAATGGTATTTGAATACATTTTACGACACATGTGACCATAACATAAAATTCGATGCCCTGAAAGCCGAGGAGATGATTCTTAGGGACCGGAAGGACTCTGTGGATGTGTTCTGTGTTTTGAAAAATCACCGGTCTCTTTTCAGAGTGTAGATTTGAAGTACAGTGGTGAAGCTCATTAAATGTTGACATTTAAAAAAGCAAGCTGTTTCTGTCCTTTTTTTGGAGTTAGCAATAGATTTTCTTTAGATGTTCTTTACTGCATGTTTCATCATCAAAAAATAATGACCAAGTTAAATTGAGCACCGAATTGTTAACTTCAAATGACGGGCATTTGGAAATCTGTTTGAAAAATGAATTTGCTGATGTTGGTTTTTATTTCTGAAAGGTGCTACAGACTCACACTCAGGCACATTATTGTTTTTAACTTTTATAAATTATGATTATATGCTTATGTACACTCTAAAAAAAATGTTGTGTTGTTTTAACCCAATTTTGGGTCAAATATGAACAAACCCAAACGTTGGTTTAAAATGTCATTAAAAAAAATAACCCAATGGCTGGGTTTGTCCATATTTGACCCAAAATTGTTTTAAAAAACAACCCAGCCTTTTTTTTAGAGTGTACAGAATGGCAATTATAGAGGATGTTCCAATAGGATGGAAATAAAAAGGGATTGGGTTTAAGCTTAGATGAGGGTACTTAAAGTTAATTATGATATTAACCATGGTTTTCAATTTTGAGAATATCATACCAAAGAGAATGGGGTGTTTTGGAGTAAAACAAACCTTCATCAACTATGAATGTTTGTAAGTTCATGCAACATTCTTGTATCAGCTAGGTTTTGTTGAGGTGTTAATGCAATAAACATGTTGAGCTGAGGTCTAAATGTGACCAATGAAAAAGTACAAACTTCATGAAATATGGCAAAACTGGGGGAATGTTCCAGAAAGTTCAGCTCATTAAAGTGGTTTACACCTCTTTCAAGTGTAATTTAGTAAGAAATAATCTTTCATTCACAACTATGTTTTATGAATCTTATTTTGAATCTACATTTCTCAGCGAAGATGAACTCCTGGTTTCACAGACGAATCTTAAAAATAGTCCCAGACTAAAATGCATGTTTGAGCTGAAAGCAATTTCACTCTAAAAAATGCTGGGTTGTTTTAACCCAATTTTGGGTAAAATATGGACAAACCCAACCATTGGGTTATATTTTTAAATTACATTTTTAACCCAATGGCTGGGTTTGTCCATATTTTACCCAATATTGGGTTAAAACAACCCAGCATTTTTTATATCTTAAAATAGATCAGTCAGTGTCATTGTTTTAACTCAAGATGAACATCAGAAATGTTTTTTTTTTTTTTTTTTTTATTAGGGCACTATAATTGCATCTAAAGCCTAATCCTGGCTTAATCTAAGCCCTGCCTGTGAAACCAGGCCTCAATGCAAGAGGTGTATTGGCAAATATAACAGTATCTTACACTTACAGGAATGCTTTTAGTCACCTTATTAAAATCTCTTACAGAAATAGTAACACTTTTTAGAGACATAAAATCATAAAGGGAAAGAAGGTCTCTTTGAGCACTAAACAAATCAGAAACAAAAAGAATATTTTGATCCACCCATTCTTTGAAAAAAAAAGAGATTTCTTACCACACAGTACATTTTCATTACACGTGTGTGGGGAGAAATTATGTTTGAAAGCAATCTTCCAGGATTCAAGAGCTTGTTTATGAAAAATTGAGAGTTTAATAGCTAATTTGCAGCACTTAAAATTGCAAGATAATAAGAATTTAAGGCCACCACATTTTTTAAAGATTAAATTAGGGATCCAAAACCAGGGTAAACCATTGTTAGAAATACAATACTTAATCCAGTTAATTTTGAATGTCTGGTTGATAGTTTGAAAATCTAAAGCGTTAAGACCACCCTCCTTGTAACTTCTTATCAAAGATTTCCTTTGAACACATTCTGTTTTCAACCGAGAAATGTTGTTTTGGCCACTTTGTTTCATATAATCACAACAATTTAACGTAAAAAAAAAGTTTTTCAAAGTGGACCATTTAGGCTGATTCATTAAAAACGTCACATTTAGAAGGTTTTTTTTTCCGCCGTGGATCGAGGCAAATGAATCCTTTTCACCTTGAAAATAATAAATGTTTTTTTGCATTTTAAATAATAGACCATTTCTCTCGTCAATAAAACAAAGGGTGTATTGGATGGGTTTTTATTGCCGGTTTGGTTTTATTTGTTGGAAAAATAAATATAGAAATGTAATTTGACACAGGAGGGCAATAGCCCTATTTATGGTTTTGAGTTAAACCATGACATCTACACGTTTTCCAAAGTGGACCAACGTGATTATTTCATGTCTTGATACCAGGTTGGGCACTGAAGTTGCAGGAGTTTCTTCCCGTTGCTAAGCAATGGGAACTAGGTCAAGTATTTAAAAGGTTATGGTTAACACATTTAACGTGGTTTAACGTTGATGTAATACGTTGTTTTAGCGTACATTTTGCTTAAACAAGGAGCTGGGGGATGCCGGAAAAATAGACATTTCTCCACTAGAACGTGTTAACGCAAACGTGTAAGTTTCAAGTTTGAGGGGGTTATCTACACGTTTTCCAAAGTGGACCAACGTGATCATTTCACGTCTTGTCGTGATACCGGGTTCAACCGAGAAATGTTGTTTTGGCCACTTTGTTTGATATAATCACAACAATTTAACGTAAAAAAAAAAAAGTTTTTCAAAGTGGACCATTTAGGCTGCTTCATTAAAAACGTGACATTTGGACTTTTTTTTTCGCCGTGGATTGAGGCAAATGAATCCTTTTCACCTTGAAAATAATAAATGTTTTTTTGCATTTTAAATAATAGACCATTTCTCTCGTCAATAAAACAAAGGGTGTATTGGATGGGTTTTTATTGCCGGTTTGGTTTTATTTGTTGGAAAAATAAATATAGAAATGTAATTTGACACAGGAGGGCAATAGCCCTATTTATGGTTTTGAGTTAAACCATGACATCTACACGTTTTCCAAAGTGGACCAACGTGATTATTTCATGTCTTGATACCAGGTTGGGCACTGAAGTTGCAGGAGTTTCTTCCCGTTGCTAAGCAATGGGAACTAGGTCAAGTATTTAAAAGGTTATGGTTAACACATTTAACGTGGTTTAACGTTGATGTAATACGTTGTTTTAGCGTACATTTTGCTTAAACAAGGAGCTGGGGGATGCCGGAAAAATAGACATTTCTCCACTAGAACGTGTTAACGCAAACGTGTAAGTTTCAAGTTTGAGGGGGTTATCTACACGTTTTCCAAAGTGGACCAACGTGATCATTTCACGTCTTGTCGTGATACCGGGTTCAACCGAGAAATGTTGTTTTGGCCACTTTGTTTGATATAATCACAACAATTTAACGTAAAAAAAAAAAAGTTTTTCAAAGTGGACCATTTAGGCTGCTTCATTAAAAACGTGACATTTGGACTTTTTTTTTCGCCGTGGATTGAGGCAAATGAATCCTTTTCACCTTGAAAATAATAAATGTTTTTTTGCATTTTAAATAATAGACCATTTCTCAGTGATCATCAATAAAACAAAATAAAAATTTTCTCGGTTTAATGAAAACCAATAGGTCGTTATGGCAGAGGCGATTGCGTGTATAATAGGTCAACATCCGGGTATCTCTCCACTGGAACGTGTTAATGCAAACGTGCAGGTTTTACGTTTGAGGGGTTAAACCAAAGTGGACCAACGTGATCATTTCACGTCTTGTCGTGATACCGGGTTGCAACCGAGAAATGTTGTTTTGGCCACTTAGATATAATCACAACAATTTAACGTTAAAAAAAAGTTTTTCAAAGTGGACCATTTAGGCTGCTTCATTAAAAACGTGACATTTAGACATTTTTTTTCAGCGTGGGTCCAGGCAAATGAATCCTTTTCACCTTGAAAATAATCAATGTTTTTTGCATTTTAAATAATAGACCATTTCTCAGTGATCGTCAATAAAACAAAATCCCATTTTTCTCGGTTTAATGAAAACCAATAGGTTGTTATGGTAAGTTTAAGTTTCAGTTTAAGTGTAAGTTTCACGTTTGAGGGGTTTAAACCGTGACATCTACACGTTTTCCAAAGTGGACCACTTTGTTTGATATCACAAGTTAAGAAATGAGAAGATAAAGTTAGACCGTATAAAGGCACAGTGTATAGATGTGTGGATTCATAAACCATGACTAATATTAATCACTTGTTGTTTATGACATTTTTTGGGAAAGTTTGTTGGGTCATTTATCTATAAAAAGCATCAAAAGCAGTCTTAACAGACTGTCTTTTGTTATAAGGTCAGAGTCTAATGTCTTATTATGAGATGTGTTTGACTTTTTGGTTTAATATCTTGAAACCTCACGAAATGTTATCGCTGATGCATGGGGAATTCTTCATATGAGCAAGTACACACACCCACACACACACACAAACACACACTATAAGAATGACTTTGATGCTGCTGGGGCTTTTCTTTTTTAAACAATAAGCGCTTTCACTGGCGTCTCCAGGTGAAATGAGGGGATTGTGGGCCGCCATCTGGACGCTGTATTGACTGGACGTGCAGACAACAGGACAACAGGTTCTCAGCACCTTTCATTTCATTCAAAGTTCAAATCAAGACAGACAAAGGATGAATACACTAGGTTTTATAAATATAAAAAAATCATAACTACATTGATCTTACAAGATTTTTTTATTATTAAATAATAAGGAGGTGCAGTGTACAAATTATTTTGAATGCTACGTAGTATGGTTGTTGGTCTTTGGTCATGAATTACATTAAGTGACTAATTACAATAATGACTAATTACATTGGTCATGAATTACATCATTTTGAACAGTCTTATGTTCACGCACAAATTTACAGGTTATGCACTTAACTTTAAAAGAAAATCATACAACTTTGTCTTTCAAACAAAATGTTTTAATTTATATTTTAGGGCTGGGCAATGATTAATCGCATTCTAAATATTTTGTTTACATATTATAGGCTATGTGTGTGTACTGTGCATAATTATTTTGTATATACAGATTCATACACATGCATATATATATATTTAAGAAAAATGTGTTATCAATATAAAAAATATTAATTAGGCCTGTGCAAAAATTAATTGCGATTAATCGCATCCAAAATAAAAGTCTGTGTTTACATAATAAATTTGTGTGTGCTGTATATAATTATTTTGTATATATAAATACACACACATGCATGTATATATTTAAGAAAATGTGTTATTCATATATAAAATATTTATATTTACATAATATAGATTATGTATTTATTTATATATACAGAATTTAAGCGCAAATAATTCTTAAATATATACATGCATGCATAGGTATTTATATATACAAAATAATTATATACAGCACACACAAATATATTATGTAAACACAGACTTTTATTTTGGATGCGATTAATCGCAATTAATTTTTGCACAGCCCTATAATATTAATGTTAATATTTAATATTAATGATGTATAAATATAGGCTATTTACAGTATATGCATGCAAATGTTTCTTTAATATCTGCATGCATGTGTGTGTATTTATATATACAAAATAATTATATACACACACATATATTATGTAAACACAAACTTGTATTTTGAATGTGATTAATTGCGGCCCTAATTTATTTACATATTTTTGTAATAAGATTAGTGATAAGATTACTTTAACCTAACTTTATTTCTATCACATTGAAATAAATAGGATACCATATTGTAGCCATATTGGTATAAAAATACAAAGAGAAAGAAAATATAATCCATTCTGGATATATTTATAAAACAACATGAAGTGCATTAAACAGTACATTACATCAGGGTTTCCCAACTACTGTGCGTGAAGAAGTTGCGGGGGTTTGTTAGTTTAATTTAGATTTTTTTTTTCTTAGGCTAATTAAATAAATCACAATTTTAAATTAAAATAAGAAAAATGTGTTCAAAACACAATTTCACAAAACTAGAAGACTTTCTGAATGCACATATATCAGAGATATACTTTAAAAAAATGAAAATTTAAAATATGAAAACATGTTTCAAATTGTTATGAAAACAAATTCACCCTTTTCAGATCCATCAAAATTATGAATTATATTCTGTTAATAATTTGTAATCATGTAATCAATAAAAAAAGCAACTGTAGTTAGGTTGTACTTATTTTTGGAGTGTGATTATGTATTCCAGCCAGAAAGGTTTGAAAAATAATCAGCATTATTTTACAGAAGAGCGATGACTTTTATTATGAAACAACTTCAGGTTAGAAGAAGTCAATGAGGAAGTGGTTCCTCTGTTATGTGTATCCTTCACCTTTACATTTCAACTTATGAGCGTGTGACGAGTGTTATACGTCTTATTATACAGTTACAGCTCGAAATAGGCCAGATATACTCAATGTAATTGTAGCGCAAGACTTTGCAATCAGACTTTTAAAAAGTGAAAGTGCTAGCAGAACACAGACCCTCCACAGTCCACATGCCTGATCTGATCCGCACGCCGGTGCAGCTTTACCGCTATCTGCTGCGCTGCTGCAAACTCTTGCCCTCAGCAGCCATGCAAAAACACTACCAACACGCCATCAGACAGGTACTTTTATAAACTTCAAACCGAGCTACTTATCAGACTGCAATTAGAATATAACCCTAGAAATACACCCAAATATGTGCAGGAGATTCACCTTTTCTGCTGTCAGGTTTCAACGTGACTTTCTTTTATTTCAGAGTTACAACAGTCATGCGGATGAGGATGATCCAGAAAGGATTCAGATGATCATTCAAAGAGCTATATCTGACGCTGACTGGATATTAACTAAAGTACACGTTTTTTTGGCACCAGAGAAAATACGAAACCTCATTATTTGATTTACAATTGATCATAATGTTTTTATCTTCTTTCCTAGTACACTAAAAAGATGTGATCAACATGGAGAGGGTACAGCATGGAGCTGAAAAAGGTCATATCTAGCCTACAGTCAGACTATATTACTGCTAAAAAATGAAACTGAAATCATACCCACAGATTGTTATCACCAAATAGCCCACCTTTTACAAGTATAACATTTGGCTGGGTTTTACTTGTTACATTTTTATAGGAGTCTTTAAAAGCATCTTGTTTTGTTCTGAACATGTGATTATATTATAAAGGCAATAAAACAAGATTGCCTTTTATTCACTTTGGATCAGAAGCGGCTCCAGACCATAAATTTAGGTAGAATCTGGGCCTTTGGGTTCTGCTACCTTTGTAAAGCCATTAAAATGATTGATGCTTATAAGTCATATGCTTTCAAGTTAACTTAATATTGTTTTTTGTGTGTGTTAATAAATGTATTATTTAATGATACATTTGTCTACTTATTATTTTTTTTCCCCACCAAAAAATTTGTTTCATTTGGTAATCCCCTTTAAAACAATTTAAGAGTATACTAACTGATCAATTTATTAATGTGAAAAAGTATATAGTCAGTGCAGTGGGATCAATTTGATCTTTTTAAAAAATCATTTTGTTCTCGTTACAAAGCAGGTAGGGTGTTTATGAACATGATCATCTGTTTTACAACCCCTGTATGTAAACTTTTCTTATATTGTGGGTAATGAGGAAGAATTGGAGTAACTAATTTAGCATATCAAATGAACGATAGATTATGTAATGGGATTCATCGTCCAGGAACATTTTATCGTTCTCCTTCCCAGACAAATAATCATTGAACTGAAAATTTATTGCTAGTTACTGGAAGCTAGGCTGTAAAAATGTGTGTTTATGACAGACGGGTAGAATGTCCTGGATAATTATTTTGTTATAATAGTAAGTTATTCTAAATAATAGACACAGTGAAGTAGTAAATGCAACAAAAATGTGAAAGCATTATCAAAACAAAACTATTCATCAGTATGTTACTGTGTTTAATTTGTGTGTTTAAATGTAAATTCAGGAGTTGATTATGAATCAGATGACCTGCATTGCACTCTTGCTTGTCAAATCCTTTTATGGTTGTTGTGCGTGACATTCATTAGTTGCCAAACAAATGGATGAAAACGGAAGTAGTTAGATCATTTGAAGTTTTAATAGCAATGACATCAATGTGCGTGAATCAGACACATGTACAGTCCATTTGCTGCAATATGTTCCATTGTTCCTTGTAGCCAAGCTATGCATAATGTAAGTGATAATAGGATGAGGACAAATAATGGGAACCCACTGATTGCTTTATGATTATAATATTTTTGCAGTTAACCTGCAAACTGGCAGCTTTATTATTTGGAAACTAAATATGTATATAATGTACAGAAATGTGATATTAATTTTTCCTTGTAGATCACCATCAATCTCAAAACAAAACTAAATATTGCAGACTTAATCGATTATAACGTACATGCAATTTCTGTGAGAAAGTTTGATGTCTCAATTACATTGAAGAGCTTTTAAAAAGAAAGAAGAAGGGAGATTTTATTACTCATGTGAATGTGTAACTTATGTAAATCTTGTGAGGGGTGTGGTAATAGAAGAGTGTACTGTTTCCCCCAATTGCTAAAATACATTTACTGGAAACAATAACACATTTCCCACAAGTGCTATTATCATATTATGAATTCATTGGAATAAAATCTGTAACATACAAATATATTATTTCTATTTTGTTCATTAATCCATCCAAAGGTCCTCCACTACACTGTATATTTTATTGAACTTAAAAGTTAATTTAGTGGAAGATTAGTAACGTCTATATGAGTAATGTTAAGATTAGTATGTCTCAGTAATGTCTCAATGCCTCAAGTTTTTTTAAGTTGTTTAATTCTTTGCATGTATTGACTGTTGTTGTTTTTAATGTTCAATTGTCTATTTGTGTTGTTTGTAATGTGCAATGATAGCAAATGAGTTTCCCCTTATGGGGATTGATAAAGTGTTCTATTCTAATCTAATCTAATACATTCATTGATTATTTTGCCAGAGTAATAATAAATACAGATCTACACTGTAAAAAAAATGGTGAAAAAAATGGTGAAAGACTTGTTAATTGGTTAAAAAAGTTTTCTTACTATATACGCTAAATAACTGATATATATAATAGTACATTTTATGTAATTTTACTGTAAAATACCGTTACTTTTTTTTATAAGTTTAATGCATTTTTATAAGTGAAAAAGAATGTAAATTGACATTCCCACAATTCCCTGCGTGACACTTCACATTTAAGTTTCTTCATAATTTTCTTCATTTTTTTTCGTATCAGTAATGTACATTAAGGTTTTAAGTTATATTTAATGTTGTTAAATTAATATTTATTGCATTTTGTTTATTTCAACATGTTTCCATGACTGTGTTTAATGTTTGTGTGCATGACACTGCGCAGCTTCTATATATTAGTATTAACTTTCTTGTGGAAGATCTGCTTGTGAACAGCTTTGATTGATCAGTTGACTCTACACTGCTGTGATTGTTGTTTGTCAGTGTATTACAATGGAAAAAAAAATAATTCTTGAAAAGGTCATTACATTAACATTATATCAGATAATGAAATACGGTTGAATTATATACGGTTAAAAGTCTGTGAAAATGTTGCTACCGTATTTTTAACAGGAACATTTTTAACCACAGTTTTTTTTTTTTTTTTTTTTTTCATAAATTGAACAGATTGTTTTTTACAGTGTAGATCATATAACCTTTTAGGTGAGGTGTGGTGTAGTTATGGTTTTCCTTTTGATTCATCAAACTGTAAGTGTTTTACAGATGCTGGTGTTCAAAGATTCCAGTATGGGTGTAAGATTATGACATTGGAAACTGTGGTCAGGCTGTAACCGTCCAACCCTCCTTATGGCACAATGCCACGACCAGCACAATTCTTGACCTGCCCTAACCAACAGGCTCTCTAGGTTCAGTATATAAGCATGTAAAAGTGGGAGATTCACAATTGCACACTGAGAAAGGACTGCCTAACACACAAGGGTAAGAAACTCATGTTGTTAATGAAATTCATAATTGCATAACATATAATGACAGATATTATGCATATAGCCTATCTTTAATTTATCAAAAAATTTTTTTTTCTATTCTCATGTATGTTTTATAATGTGTTGTTATGTGCATCACAGCAACATCTGTGGTGTTAAATTGACACTGCTGGGTCCACTATACAGTGTTAAAAAGTAACACTGAAGCTGTGTTGAAGTTAATAATTAAGTGATGATTGACCATAATTGATGATAATGTGAACAAGTAGAATCACTGAAGTAAATGAACAATATCAACTGATCCTTTTCCTTTTTGATAACTGAAACAGTAAAAGCAACTACTATCTTATCGTCTTAACGGTGACTGGATTGAGATAACTTCTGATGTAGTTAATGAAGATGAAATGGAGTTTAATGATTGGAATTTAGTATTGTAGGTAGTGGGGAAAGGACAAGAAAAGAGAGAAAATGGATGAAATGAAGGGAACCTGGTAGCAAGCCAATCCAGTAAACGGGGATTAGAAGGAAACGGCTCGGATGAAGATTGGTTGTCCGCAAAAAAGATTTAAAGAAGAAGATGAGCATGTTAAACTTAGTCCAATACTGTTATCTAAAGAAGAAAAAGTTAGAAATAGATATGGCTGAGATTTTGAGAGACGGAAGCCTGCTAATAATATATAAAACAGAATAACAAAACAAAAAAAAAGCATTTTAAATTGACAATGTGTGCAAGAAAATAGTGAATGAGGAAAGATTTTGGGTGAGAGAAAAAGGAAACGGAGTGATACCAGGCGTTCTGATCAAGAACGATCTAGAAAAACTCACAAAGTTTTTCTGGAGGGGATGCAAAAAAAACCCAAAAAAAACAATGAATGGGGTTTGTTGATTGCTTTTGTAATTAATTGTACAGACCAACTCAAACAAAGAAAAAAACAGAGAAAATTAAAATAAGTTTGGAAGGAGCTGAAATATTTTTGGGTATGGACAATATACCTTGGCAAAATATAAAAAAAAGACCAGGAGGAGCAGGTGATAAGTGAATATGAATTCAGTATGAATTCATGAATTCCAATGCTTAGCCACCATATTTTTTTATTAGTATTTAGAATTTCTAAAGATGTTAATGATACTTTGCATTATAATTTTGATGCTATGAGATTTATGAGCTATTCTATTTTTTTACATTAAAATTAATATATTTTTTATGATTATAAAAAATAAATATTTCAATAAATGCTACATTTCACATCAAAATAGAATGCATTAATTATCAAAAACTGTACTTCAACATTTACTGATTTAACTGATTTTCAGTTCACTATTTCAAGGAGAAATGGGGAACCATGCCACTAAAGCCTCTAAAGACAAGAAGGATGTAATACTCCACCAGATTAAGCCAAACATGGTGAGCAAAACTTCAGCTGACATAAAATGCATGTCAGTAAATCGATGCCCATTTTCCAAGCAAGTGAAGAACTACCAGGACGGTTTGAGCCATCAGGATACGTTACATCACAGAGCAGTTAAGGTGAACACATTTATGAGCCCGTCCCACTGAAATAGTTTAGTTCTATTTTTACTGCATGTGTGTGAAGTTTCTCATTGCCTGCTTTTATAGAGTCTCATTTTAAAGTTATTTTGCTAATGGCTACAGGATCAATTTGAACTTCCTCCTCCTTATCTTTAGAGCCAGGTTTGCATGTCCAATGTCTGTGAAGGCTCTATCATGACTCCAAAGGCTCTGATGCGCTGTCCTTCCTCCACCCTGCCAGACTCTGATGACATCCTCATGCAAGCTATTGACTTCATCAATCAGTACTACAAGTCAATTAAAAAGTAAGAACCTATAAGGTCACAGTGTGTTAATATTTGACCGTTAGTCCACTCTAATACTGAATAAGTGGTTACGTTCTTGTTTTCCCCCCCTTTCATTTAATGCCATAATAAAGCAGACCATGAACTTGCTTAATTCGTAAGAGTGAACTGGGTAGGCTATATGACTGAATTACATCTGTTATTCAGCTCAAAAATTGAGGAGCACCTGTCTCGTGTGGAGGAAGTCGCGAGGGAAATAGATGCTACTGGGTCATATCAACTCACCACAAAAGAACTGGAATTCGGGGCTAAGCAAGCATGGAGAAATGCACCGAGATGCATTGGCAGAATTCAGTGGGCTAATTTGCAGGTAGTTTCTCTAGTTTGGACTAAAACATGTATCATATGTGTTATGGTATACTGGAGTTCTATTTACATGATCGTATGTTTTTCTGTCCAGCTGTTTGATGCACGCAAATGCAGAACTACTGAAGATATGTTTCAGATGTTGTGCGATCATATTCAGTTTGCTACCAATGGAGGCAACCTGAGGTAAACCCAAGAATGTGTTACTTGAGCCCATCTTCCATCTTCATTGTCTTTGTAAACTTGATGCGATGCCGTCACAATAAAGAGAATTATTTTCACAGGTCTGTCATCACTGTGTTTCCTCAAAGAACTGATGGTCAACATGATTTCCGCGTGTGGAATAGTCAGCTCATACGATACGCTGGCTATAAGATTACAGATGGTACAATAATAGGAGATCCCGCCAGTGTTGACTTCACAGAGGTAGATACCAGTCTATTTTCTTTTATAATAGATATTTTCTCTCTTTGCAATACCTTTTTTAGAATATCTTTCTGCAGTATCTGTTTGTCTGAATACTACCAAATACAAATATTCGTTTTAGTCTTTCATTTAATATGAGGTCATAAAAACGTTGTTACAGTTATAAAAGATCTATTTGTAATATATACCTCATTGATGTCTTGTCAATACCCATATTTAACAGATGTGCATCCAGCTTGGGTGGATACCAAAGTACGGTCTGTTTGATGTGCTTCCACTGGTGCTGCAAGCTAATGGAGAGGACCCTCAGTTATTTGAAATTCCCCAGCATTTAATTTTGGAAGTTCCCATAGAGCACCCACAGTAAGTGAAAACATGGGTTCAAGGGTTCTAGTACAAAGACTCAAAGTCAGACTTTCGGTCTTGTAGCTTGTCTAAATTTGAGGGCGATGTAGTTTACACAGACCACCAGAGCTCTTTACTGAGATGACTTGCATTCCACTTGATTCTGCAACAAATCTGTTTGCTTCTTGAACAGAAAATTATGCAAGGCTTTTCCCTTTAAGAGCTCGTATTGGACCTTTAAAAAAACAAATGCTCCTAGGCACTTAAAGATCAGACTAGAGTGGCAAAGCCATTCAATCCTAAAACAGCCTGTCTCTATGCCACATTCTTTCATCCAGACCTAACAAATGAGTTTAACCAGTGAGGCTTAAAGTCAATCCAGACTCACTCCAACACTTCACATTAGAGAGCTACCTAATTAGTTTACCTTGTGAATTTGACTGAAGTGCTGTTTGTAGAGCTCCAATAATGGTGCAATCATGCAGACCTAGAAGTGTTATGGATTTGTGTCAGCAAAATGGATAACTGAAATATTGCATTTAGTAACATGGTCAAGGGTTTGTTTGAACTGGTAGCTAAAATATATGCACATGCCATTAAAATTGGATGGTTTAATTCACTTCTTCAGATACGAGTGGTTTAAGGATTTGAACCTCCGATGGTATACGTTGCCTGCAGTGTCCAACATGTTACTGGAGATTGGTGGTCTTGAATTCCCAGCATGTCCTTTTAACGGTTGGTACATGGGCACTGAGATTGGAGTGAGGGACTTCTGTGATACCCAACGCTACAATGTTCTTGAGGTGCTACTACATTTCTTACTGCTTAAAATATTTACAGTCAAGAAGAGAAAGTTTAGACCAAGAGGATCTTTGATACTGATCTTCTATCACTTTATTATGTCCTACAGCGGGTTGGCCGCCGAATGGGCTTGGAGACGCAAAAACTGTCCTCGCTATGGAAGGACCAGGCCTTGGTGGCCATCAATGTCGCAGTAATGCATAGTTTTCAGGTAAATAAAGCAAATAAGTCTAAAACATTGGTGAGAGACAAGAGGATTTTCACGATTTCATGAGAAAACCTAACTACAGTAGTCAACATTTGAAGTGGATCAAAACCTTTCATCAAAGTTATACATGAATTTTGAACAATACCCGTTCTTGTCTTAGAACTTTTTTGATCCACTTCAAATGTTGACTACTGTATTTTAAATGGTGGCTATTTCATATGAAATTGTATGGAAACTTACATGACAATGATGTATTAAAAATGGGAAAAGATTTTCCTTTGTTTTTCACGTTTTTCATTGTTTTTCACGATCTGCAAAAACGACTAAAAACCCTATATTCATCCCAGTGCAGTAGTTGGTGATGTCACTTAAAGAAACACTATAGACTGATCATGTAATATGCATGGACATGACCTCACCTTTTTTACAAATTCGCGAGACAACAACGGTTTCAAAAACTTGCACTTTGAATTCAAATGTTACGTTTTCAGGCCCACAAAACATCAATTTATGAATGTAAATGAAAGACCAAGTTGAATATAATATTGTATAAATGGCCCCTAAACCTGACTGGTTTGTGACTCATGTGACTATCACTGAAAACCGAGACCCACACAGCATTTGATCTCTGGATTTACAGAAATCATTTATTTTTTTAAGAATTATTCTCTAATCTAATCAGCTAAACGAACACATTAATTATTGTTTGAATTATCACTCAGTGAGTCATTTACCATGTTTACTTTCTTTGGAAGGCTTGATTTATGAAGCTGTGCGTACCTTTGAAATCCAGGTGTACTCAATGCCTGCCCTTGATAAATCCTGCGGCTGAAAACGATCGTCATTAGAATAACACGCCCCTAAATATTCAAGTCTCCGCTCCCCCCACGCCCTCATTTTACGGAAGACGGCAAAGAAGAGAAACTTCTCTGACGTGATGCCGAAATGACCTATCACAATGCATTATTTTACAACAGGTCTTTTGAATTAGCATTCAATTTAGATTCACATGTAACGTTTATTGGAGTGTACAATAGTGATGATGATGATGATGTGATGTGGAGTACCATTCATTCACATTAATAATTGCGTACACCACCTCCTGAGCTAGTGTAGGATTTGAGCGTGCCGTACGCCAACGTCCATATTGATAAATCTCAAAGTCACCGTGGTTTTGGGTGTACGCTGGAAATTTGGTGTACGCACTTTTGATAAATGAGGGCCAGTGAAATGCACAAATCATGTAATTGCATATTTACATGCAGAGCATGGATTCCCCAACCTTTTTGTCAGCTGAACCTCTTTGACCTAAATACCTGAAGTACCACCTAAGATTTTAAGATAATAAATTAGGATTATCAAATTAATGTGATGAACAAGTTAGGTCAAAAGTAATCACAAAGTAGTCAGGTTATATGGATTACGTAACTACCTACAATTTTTGTCATGTAATTCGGAGTCATTAACCAACAACAATTTGTAAGGAATCTATCCAGCACTGCCAATTTGTCAAAACATGAAATAGTTACAAAAATTTTTTTTTTTTAATTATAATTATTATTTATTAAAAAATAAATAATACTAGTATATATGTTCTTTAGGACATATGTGTGAGGATCTAAATCTTAATGTAAAATATTTTAGTCAAATTAAATGAATAGAAGACCTATATAGAGGTGGATAACATTCTAATATGTTATATTAGTATTAAATAAATATTTTAAAAAAATAATTGGGAAATTGTATGGGAAATTATTCACATTTATGCACATCAAAGTTTATGCACATCCCACTGGAAAGTCAATATATGGGTTAAGATGAAATTTGACCTCTTGTTAAATGTTTATCCACAGTTTTTTGACCTTTTTGTCCCGACTTACAGAAAAATAAGGTCACCATAACTGACCACCATTCTGCATCAGAATCCTTCATGCAGCACATGGAAATGGAAGTGCGTCTGCGTGGAGGCTGTCCAGCCGATTGGGTCTGGCTGGTGCCGCCAATGTCTGGATCCTTAACTCCTGTGTATCACCAGGAAATGCTGAACTACATCCTGTCACCCTTTTTCTACTATCAGGTATCATCCTGCATCTATTGTGCATTCATCATAAAGCTGCATTGCTGGAATATTCTTGAGCTGAAGTATGATGTTTTGGGAAATTGATGTTTTGGGAAAATCTAAATTTTGGAATGTTCTTGCCTTAAAGCCTGATCCGTGGTTGACATACAAGTGGAAGGATAAGAGGAGATGGAGGAGGTGTACAATCAGCTTCAAAGGATTGATCAGGTACCACAATATCATATTCACACTTCCTCAACCAGAACAACCCAGTTTTATTCTCTCAACAAAAATCTGTCTGCAACAATGTAATGAATATTTGAAAGGTTAGCTGTGAACATTTGGTAAGCAGCCAGTAGAGCTAAAATTCTTGTTTTCTTTCCTCTCTTTTAGAGTAGTGCTCTTCTCTCAGACACTCATTAAATCAGTTCTGGCCAAGAGGGTGCGTTGCACCATTCTCTACGCCACAGAAACAGGGAAATCACAGACTTTTGCCAAGAAACTAAATGCCATGATGAACTGTGCCTTCAGCTCCATGGTAAGAGGACCATCACCCCCGATTCATTTTTAACTTATTGTTCTGCTACTCAAATTGAGTACCATTACCAACACTTGCGGCATATGTGGCACATTCATAACAATATCCCACTCTAAGGTGGAAATTACCCCATCTTACTTTTTTTTTTTTATAAAAAGTCCCCCTGTAGTCAATAATTGTATCCCTTAACTCATCTTTGATCACCAAAATGACATATTTAAAATAGCTTGAATGTAACATTTACTTCACACGGTTCTATGAATATGCAAATAATCCACTCACACCAGCTCAGAGATCCACTTGTTGATGATCACATATTGGCGTGATTGGTTACTAGGTAGTTTGTGATGTCAGAAACACCATGTTTTTGAGACTGTCTTTGGTTCACTGCAGTTTTAAAGAGAAAATACTCAGCAATGGTGTTGACTTATGCATTTGCACATGGTTTGTCTTAAAGCATATTAAAATCACATAGACATATAAACATTAAAAGCTTTGATTTTTTTTAAGATGCTATATGTAAAAAAAAAGAATACTGTTCGATTAAACACTAAGATTTGACATTGACTTTTTAGTTAAAACATACTGTACATATGTGAAACGTGTTATTTATACAGGTTGTTTGCATGGAGGACTACAACTTCAGTGACCTTGATAAGGAAAGTCTGTTAATTGTTGTCACCAGCACCTTCGGCAATGGAGACTGTCCAGGAAATGGAGAGGTGTGGATATATTTATGCACCGTGACCTGTTGTATTTTAATAATAATAAAAAAAAAACATTATCACAAAAAAATAATGCAGAATCCAAAGGTCTTCACAAAGGCATTTGCTTTTGGAATGATTCGTTGTACAATAACCACAAAAGATGTTTGATAACTAGAATGTGATTCTTTCTTTCTTCTCAGAGTTTCAAGAAGCAGCTTTTTACTCTGAAAAGCCTCAGAAACAAAGTCAGGTCAGTATTTAAAATCCTCTAAATGTATTTTCTCTCCACTCCTGTGTAGAATATATTGTTTAAATTGTTTCTTTCCCTCACACAGGTTCTGTGTGTTTGGTCTCGGCTCTCGTTCGTACTCCCACTTCTGTGGGTTTGCCCATGCAGTGGATGATAAGCTTGCGGCACTGGGAGCCATCCGCGTGTCCCCCACAGGAGAGGGAGATGAGTTGAATGGACAGGAGGAAGCTTTCTCAGCCTGGGCTTGCACAGCCTTTAAGGTCTAAATAAAAGAATATAAGAAGAAATATAAATAATAAAATAACCATTGAGCATCCTTTGTTTTCTGTACTTTGGTGAACGGTAAAATGAATCATGAGATGTTTGTTTTCTGTATGTAAAGGATGCATGCAAGGCGTTTAACATTCAAGGGCAGCTTCCAGGCAGCGATGGTCTGGCAGATTCCTGGGATCCGCAGAGGCACAGAGTTCAGAATGACAGCTGTACACTTGACCAAATCGCAGGTGCATTTAATATACAATTTTATTTATTTGAAAGAAACATCAAGGGAAAATTATGGGCAAAGCTTGACGAAACCTGTATAAGTGATTAAAAAACTAAACCAAAATGCTATATTGAGAATATTCTTGCCATTTTTCTTTTTTTTTTTTAAATGTTGCATAACAGAATTATTTACAGTGCAATATTATGTAAGAATATGGAAATGCTTAGTGACATTTTGGATTTTAAGGAGCAGTTCACTTTAAAAAAAAAAAAAAAAAAACTTTTGCTGATAATTTACTCACTCCCATGTCATCCAAGATGTCCATGTATTTCTTTCTTCAGTCGAAAATAAATTACGATTTTTGATGAAAACATTCCAGGATTTTCTCCATATGATGGACTTCATTGGGTCCAAATGAGAGTTTCAGTGCAGCTTCAAATGGCTTTAAATGTCACTAGACGATGAATAAGGGTCTTATCAAGCGAAACGATCGGTCATTTAAAAAATAAATAAAAAAGTTTTATAAGCACAAATGCTCGCCTTGCTCTGTTCTGTGATGTGTGTTCGTGACTCTCCTGTTCGAACTTGTTCATCAAAATGAACAAATCTTTTTTCGAGTCATTTCTTTCGTTGAATGAACCAAATGACTTGAAAAAAACTCGAAAAACTCGAAAAAACCAAATGTTCGTTTTGATGAACGAGTCCGAACAGAAGAGTGAAGTCCATTATATGGAGAAAATCCTGGAATGTTTTCATCAAAATCCTTAATTTCTTTTCGACTGAAGAAAGAAAGACATGGGCAGCTTGGATGACATGGGGGTGAGTAAATTATCAGCAAAAGTTTTTTGTTTTTTATAGGGCTGTGCAAAAATTAATTGCGATTAATCGCATCCAAAATAAAAGTCTGTGTTTACATAATATATTTGTGTGTGCTGTATATAATTATTTTGTATATATAAATACCTATGCATGCATGTATATATTTAAGAAAATGTGTTATTCATATATAAAATATTTATATTTACATAATATAGATTATGTATTTATTTATATATACAGAATTTAAGCGCAAATAATTCTTAAATATATACATGCATGTGTGTGTATTTATATATACAAAATAATTATATACAGCACACACAAATTTATTATGTAAACACAGACTTTTATTTTGGATGCGATTAATCGCAATTAATTTTTGCACAGGCCTAGTTTTTTTTAAAGTGAACTACTCCTTTAAATATGCCATTTAGCAATCATGTTATTAACAGATTTGCAAAATTTCTGCAGTGATTGATTATTATTTGGGTTGGTTTTACAGCTCTATCAGCTCTCCATTCTAAAGCTGTGGTTCCCATGAAGCTGAAGAGAAGGCAGAATCTACAGAGCCCGGAGTCAAGGTTTGCTCTTAAACCAACTTATATTTGTGTATCTGTGTTTTATTATTATAATAGTTTTATTAATTTTTATTATTATTATAAGCTTGTATTTTTTCTGAAACCGGTGCCTTATGTTGTGTGCCTTGTTTTCTCACAAAATATTTAACAGTATTTATTTTTACGTGATCTCAGTCAGTCTACAATATTGGTGGTGCTGGAGATGGATGGGAACACTGAGCCCTTAAACTTTGCCCCTGGAGACCATGTGAGGATTTTCCCTGGGAACTCACCTGAATTAGTAGCTGGCATCCTAAAGCATCTGCCCAGTGACCCTCCTATCAACCAGAGCCTTCGCTTGGAATTCCTCAATGATTCCTACCCTGGTACTGAACCATATAACCTAATTACATAGAAGTCTTACATATAATAACATGATGATACCTAATAATGTTGTCTTGCAGATGGTGAAAGGTGGCAGAGAGATGAACGAATACCACCATGCCCCCTTGTTCAATCTCTTACCTACTATCTTGATGTCACCAGCCCACCCTCACAAAGCTTCCTCCGCAAACTCTCAAAGATGGCAACGCAGGAAGATCACAGGCAGCGCCTCTTAGCACTAGCAACAGTAAGTCATTTTTTGTTTCAGAACTAAAGATGAGAATTGCACAGAATTGAACAACTTGGTAACTTTGAGGGTATTTTAGTAACTTTAGGAGATAAATATAGAGGAAAGAAATATATTATTTTCATAATACATAAATCCTTATGAAAGGCACATTTACAGGTCTGTGTATCATCAGATCATTTGATTTCCAATTTGAAATGAAATAAGCAGAAATGAGAAAATGGCACTTTTATTGGTTTTTTCATTTAAAAAAAACGAAAAAACACGATTTCGGCTTGAAAGTATTTTCGACTGAAGAAAGAATGACATGGATATCTTGGATGACATGGGGGTGAGTAAATTATCAGCAAAAGTTTTTTTTTTTTAAAGTGAACTACTCCTTTAAGTTGCCCCAACTCAATAAAATTAAGTTGGCCCAACTCAAAAATTTATAATTAAATTTTCCAAAATTAAGTTGCCTCAGCTCAATTAATTTGGCCTAACTCAATAATTAATATTTAGAATTAAAATATTCCAGAATTGAGTTGGCCCAATTTAAATTGTTAAAAATTAAGTTGACCCAACTCAATAATTAATATTTAGAATTACATTTTCCAAAGTTAAGTTGGCCCAACTCAATTTAAATTGTTCAAAATTGAGTTGGCCAAACTCAATAATTCATATTTAGTATAAAATTTTCCAAAATTAAGTTGACCCAACTCAATAATTAATGTTTAGAATTTTAAAACCACACCACGAAGGTGTTTTAAAAAGTGGTGGGGAGAATATTGAACATGGCAAAAAAAGTGTTGCCGGCTCTGAATCAAATGAAATACAATAAACATACATATAAATATTAAAAATTAAAAAACGATAGTGTCGTCCAATTTTCTAATACTATTATTTGATGACAACAATACATTAAGAAAACGAAATACAGCCATTTCTGCAAAAAACAAGATGCACCCTTTTTTAAATTTCATCTTTCATTCCGAAATAGAATAATGAATGAATGAAAAAATACACGGACCCCAGTAGGAGTGTTTTTTTTCTGGAACTGGACTATACTGGTTCTGTGTTTTTGATTCACTAAAAAAAGAACAAATTCATTTGACTCATTTGTTATATCAGTATATCAGTATCAGACTATACTGGTCACACTTTGGTTGATTCAATAAAAAATGATTTTAGACTCATTTTAACCATTAATATGGGAATTGAACCACACTGGTTTTGTTGTGTGTTTTTGATTTGCTAAAAAAAAGCCTACTCGTCAATCATTAGAACGCCATCCCGAATGCACGTGGGAGAACCGTTAACAGTCACTGAATGTCACTCAGTTCAAATTAAGTTCAAAAGATTTGGAACCAGTTTAATATTGCATTTTAAAGGCAATATACAGTAATATATAATGCCTTGTGTAAATTAATTATTCATGCTGAAAAATCCAAAGTAGAATGCTAAAAGTGTCTTCATGAACCTGCTTAATGAAACACAAATTCTTTCATAAAATGTCTCATTATAGCCTATTGAATGCGACGATTTACAAAAGAATGGGCTCATGAACACTAATGCTCATCATTCATGAAAAATTTCTATTGTGTGCAATTATCATGAATTGTTTTCAATGGAGTTTATTAGCTAAATATATACCAAGACATTTCTCTTCTACAGGACCTCAAGGTTTACACAATATGGAAGGAGTTCCACAAACCTACATTCCTTGAGGTGCTAGAGGAGTTTTCCTCTGTGGAGCTTTCTGCTGAATTTCTCCTCAGCCAGCTGCCTCTACTGAAGCCACGCCTTTACTCCATCAGCTCCTCCCCAGACCTCCACCCTCAGGAGCTCCATCTCACCGTGGCAGTGGTCAGCTATCACACACAGGGTAGAGTAAAACATATTCCCAATGATTCTCTGAACATTTATTAGTTGATACCTGAACAGTGGAACTTCCTAGACGTATAACTTCTAGAATCATTGAATAAATGTATTTGATGTTGTCATATGTCCTGCGCTGTTTAGAAGGAAAAGGTCCGCAGCATTTTGGTCTCTGCAGTGCCTGGCTCAATACCATCGAAGAAGGACACATGGTGCCATGTTGTGTCCATAGGTACCTTTCATTTCACATTCTCAAGATGTTCCTCAGAGAGAAATGCAGCCCAATGTCATCCCTGATCATAATTAACTAACTTTTCCAACAATTACAGCTCTGACGGGTTCCACCTTCCCTCCGACCCTAGTGCGCCCTGCATACTTGTTGGAGCTGGGAGCGGTATTGCTCCCTTCCGTGGCTTTTGGCAACAGCGATTCTATGACATGAAAAAAACAGGTATTGAATTTTACATTCAAGTCGTTTAAAAAAATCCACTGAAATGGGCTTACCTCAAGTTGTTGAACTTGACCCTCAAGTTGTTATTTCTCCAAGGTCTGAAAGGGAGTCCGATGACACTTGTGTTCGGTTGTCGGGATTCAGATACTGATCATCTTTACAAAGAGGAGACTCTGGACATGAGAGATAATGGCATTCTAAGCAATATCACAACAGCTTATTCTAGGCAGACTGGAAAACCCAAGGTAGAGTGATTTCTATTAAGTATTCCAATTATAATCTATAATAATAATATTGATTTTATTTTTTATTATTTATTGTTATAATTTGTCAGTCTAAAATTTTGTTTTTGAAATGGATGCCATATAGTATGTCTTTTTCAGAGGTGTAAAGTCCAGGTTCAGTCCAGCAGGGCTGGGTTTCCCAAAAGCATCGTAAGCTTAAGTTGCCACCAATGGTCTCTACGATCAACTTACAATGCTTTTGGGAAATGCAACCGAGGTTGTTCCAATCACCTGGATTTGCTAATTATTACTGTTTTTCAGCCAGGAGATCAGTGAAATCATTGAAATCAGCTGACTGAGTTCATGGGTGGAATAAACATACGGCAGGACTTTTACTTTCTGACCCCTGGACTTTACACCTCTGGTCTTTTTGCTGATGTTGATGACGCAAAATATGAATAATTACTTTTACTCAGAATCTCAGATCTAAAAAATGATTCTAAATGGCTGTTAACATTCTCTGGTCTTTGCTTATAGACATTCTGTATTTGTTTTTGGTCCAGGTTTATGTCCAAGATATCTTGCGAGAGCAATTAAATGACAAGGTCTTTGAGGTTCTGCACCATAATCCAGGACATCTGTACATCTGTGGAGGCATAAACATGGCTCAAGATGTGGCCGCCACTATCCAGGAAATCTTAGTCCGCCGGCTGGGTATCACTCTTACTCAGGCTGAGGAATATCTGTCAAGGCTCAAGGTGAACCTTCAGCTTCAGATAATAATGTCTTACAGTATTTTAGACTTACAGTCTGTAATGATATATGGTCAATAATTTTAGATGGTTATGCTTTTTGTTCACAGAATGAAAAGCGTTACCATGAGGACATCTTTGGATCGTAGTGGTGGAGATCACTCATCAATAAATCAATCAATCAATCAATCATATTTATTAATATAGCACATTTAAAAACAACACGTTGGTACCATCCCATTTAAGCCCTTAAAAACAAATAATAACATCTTATACTTTATCCTAAATTTAAATGGAAGCCAATGAAGGAATGCTAGTTCTTCCAAATCATTAAAAGACAAAAGGGGTTAAATTTCTCTATATTCCTTAATTGGAAGAAGCCACATCTATAACCACTGAATATCCTTATCAAACTTTAACTCGGCATCAAAAAGGAGGGCCAAAACACTATCACTTCAGTCTTTCAAATGAAAAAAATTATACAAGATTATACCATCTTGATCTTTTCAATATCCAAACACACCAAAAAGGGGGTTATTTTAATCTCTTTATTTTCAAACAGCTTCCAAAATCTCTCTTAACTAAGAGGGAGGAGTCAAATAAAAATCACCAATATACACTGGAAACACAAAAAAATTAGAAGAAATGTGTTAATTGTGGAATGTACAGTTCTGATTATAGAAAGCATTTTATTTCCTACTTGTAAATAAACTATTTTTTAATGTATTTTTTACCTGTTTTTGGGAAGACTGACCTGCTCTTTGTTATTATAGTCATATATAGTCAATAGTCATTGAGTAGTGCTTTTATGGCTATACTAATTACATTAACAAATCTTTTATATTCTACATTTGCCATGCTCAATAAAACAATAGGTATCTCCTCTGTTGTGGGCTTCAAAAATCACAAGAACATCTGACCCTTAGTTTGAACCAAAATGTTGGTCAATCAAAATTTGCATGTACAAAATGCTTATATAATCAGTGATTTAAAAATGTACTATTTTCCCCCCTTGGGTTTCACTTTGTTTGTCTATTCTAGCTTCACATTTTCAGTTTAAACCATGTCTTAATGTCTTAATTGTTTGTAGACTTGAATTCTCTGTATTAATAAAATAATAATAATAATTAGTTTAAACCATGAGGCTACCTGTATTCACTGTGTTTATTGTCAAACCTTTGGCTCATGCTTTCTTATAATCACCCCTTACAGTGTTAAGTGTTGTATAAAGTTGTAAATGGATGTTTATGGTAAATATTGCATCTTATAATAAAGTCAAGTTTGTACTACTAAGACGGTAGTTTTCTTTTTTTATTCGCCTCCTTGTAGTTTGTCTATGATGGGTATCCGTAATAACACCGGAAGTAGTGTATCCATGCTGCAGCAGAGAGTATTTCTGGTATTTTTTAACCGTCTTTTTCATCTCGTTTCTGTTTTATAGATTGATATAATTAAATTTCTATTATCATATAGACATTATGGCTGGAAGTCGACTTGAGAAATTCGGGACTGTATTTACCCGGTAAGCATTAGTGACAGCATGCTTTTTGAGATCATTTCAAGGTTAACGTTAATGAAAACAAATGTGTTTAAACATAGGAGATCGGTTTACTTTCAAATGTATAATGTAATATGAAAGTGCATTAAGTAAAATCATTTTATAATTACAAGAAATTATGAAACTAAGACACCTTGTGTGGTGTAACGTTAGTGGTTGCTTTTGGCAGTAAAAACTTTGACACCTTGAGCAGAGCAGTGTTATGTATTTTGCATGAGTTGCACGTCATTCCTAACTATGTGTGTAACGTTAGTTCGAGTTCTCATTGTGGTTCTGTTTGAAAAGGGTTCGTGATTTAATGCGAGCTGGAGTCATCAAGCAGGAGGAAAAGCCCATCTGGTTTGATGTGTATGCTGCTTTTCCTCCTAAGAGAGAGCCACTCTACGAGAAACCTGTGAGACCACTGAAAAAACATGCTGAAGACACTGTTCCTGAAATCTTATACAAGGAGGATGAAATACGAGCGTAAGTCCAAACAAATCCGTCCAAAACGTCTATCTTAGTAACTTAATTAAAAATATTTGCTTTCAGCAGTATTGCTCTCCACATGGTCATATACAATATCTAACTGTACGTTCACACAGCCGCCGTTTTGAGCTTCCAAATTGGCTGGAAGTCATTCATTTTCAAAGGAAGCTAGCTTTTTTCTGCTGCAAGGAGCGTCAAATCCATTCGGCGTCGCGTTTTGAGCGTCAATCAGAAAGTTGAGAGAAGCTCAATTTTATGGTAATGAGCTATGACCAGAGCACGTCTAACGGAGAGCCTGGCACTTCCTTTTAGCCCCATTGTGCATCATCCTGGTTGCCGTTCCATTAGAATTCCACTGGAGGTGATCGCGGGCGAGAGCAGAATGAATGGGACTCTATGGGGCTAAACGGCTAAAAGTGTCTCTTTCACCTGCTTGTCGTTAAATTAACATGTATTTTATTGTTGATTACGCAAGTTCAATATAGATTATAGGCCAAAAGTCGAATGAACGAGTACTTATGTCCTTTTGATTTCTTACAGGTTAGGCCGTTGTTGGCCGGAACACGCTAGCATTCTGCTATTGTGTGACGTCATCACATTTTTTAACGGATTTTTAGAACAGATGAGTGAAAAAAAAAAAAAAAAAAAGAACAGATGAGTGAACTTAAAAATGCAATTTTCAGCTGAGCGTATTATCTTAGCCCTCCCTTTTGAATGCAACTTTCAAATTACTTGACAAAAAATTACATCCTGAGAAAAGTGGATTTCTGGGGATGAAACCCCATTGACTCATCCATTCATTCTGCACTCGACCGCGAGCAGCCAGTCCAGAACCCGGAAGTAACCAGCCAGTGCCAATTCTCTTCAATTAGACATTCTCTGCTATGACGCAGTTCGGCTGCAAAACTCCAGCAACCAATCAGATTAGACGTCCTTCGCGCTGGCTGATTCCGGAGAAACATACAATGTAAACTTTCGTTCCTACCAAAACAATAGTTCAGAGAAAAAAAATTGGAATAGAAGTTAACATAGACAGTAGTTAATCATTGCTTTGCTGGGTTGCCTACAGGTTTCCTATGATTTATGACTTGACGTCTTTTGCTAACACTCGTTTTAAAGTGGGAATGCAATTCATTTGCTAACACCAATTTGACCAATTACATTTATAGCCTAATGTATCCTAATGCAAATAATAGCTAACTAATTATTTTTTTTTCGACCACATGTGACCAAAACGGTTATAAAAATGCTGTCATAAAAGGTTTCTTCAACGTATTGCTTGGGTTTTTTTTGTTTTTTTTTTTTCATTTGAAATCATTCAATTTGAAAAATTACATTTCATGTTGTGACACTTCTATTCTCCCTGCAACGTCAGGGCGTCAACAATCTTCCCCGTACTTTTTGACAAGCGTCCTTGACAGGGCAGCCAGAGCTTCTTTGACATTCAAGTCGGCGGCGGTGTGAACATACAGTTATGGTCACTCTGTGCCCTTCATTTGTACTTTAATTTTCCCCCCAGCTATTAATGTTTGTGCCGTCTCTGTTGATGAATTTATTATATTTTCTCACAAAAAGACATATATTTAATGTCTTATGTCAAAAGATTTATATTAAATGCTGTTTTTTTTTTAACTTTCTGTTCATCAAAGAATCCTGAAAAAATATCAAGCAGCACAACTGTTTTCAATATTGATTTATGATGATAATACAAAATAGCACCAAGTACATGAGAATATACTAAAATGATTTCTGAAGGATCATATGACACTGAAGACTAGAGTAATGAAGCTGAAAATTCAGCTTTGCCATCACAGGAATAAATTAAATTTAAAAAACATATTAAAATAGAATTGTCGCTTTAAAGTATTGATTGATTGATTGATTGGTTTAATTAAATGACCACACAGCCAGGCTGGTGGAATTTGTTTTCAGTACAGCTCATTTCTTTGGTGCAGGTTCCAGAAAATACATTAACATTGAACATTAAACATATGTAATACAATACCATGCATATACACATACGGACAAAACATACATAGGCGTAAGGGGTCATGCTTAATCCAGTCCTCAGCGTTCAGAGTTCAAAATGGTTGGCTTTCTTTATAGAAGCAGAGACTTTATAATACAGGTCTAGTAAGTGTTTCGTTTCTGTGAAAGTGTTTAATGTCTGTGTAATAAAATATGTGGAGTGTTTAATGAAAGTACTTTCAAGTCCATTAACGACGTAAGTGGAAAAGTATCTGTGCTGTAAATTAGTGTTTCATTTCCAGTTTTCAGAGTCACTCTATAAACTTATGATTCTTATTGAAACTGAGTCAAGACCCCCAAACCAGACTTTTTTTTTACTACGATCCTTTTACCGATCAACTCTTGCAGCAGAAATGAGACCTACTCACAACTTGTAAAGAAATTTATAATAAGAAAGTTTTTTTTACGATGTTTCAGTTATATTCTATTGATGGAGAGCTGATCTGCACAGACATCAAATTTCAAATTACTTCACAAATGCCATTGTCTTAAACTCCAAGTATTTAAAATGAAAAATTTTGATGTAAAGAATTACTGATAATTGCTCAATTGTGTTTGTAGCATTGTTGCACAATATTATAATAATTAGAAACAGACAAAAAAATATAAATTATTTAATGTATTATTATTATTAATTAATTATTAATAATAATAATTATTGTTAATAATAAATATTATATTGTATTATTTATATTATTAATTATTTAAAATTATTTTGTTTATTTAATTATCTAGACATGAATAAAAAAAAAAAAAACTGTGGTATGAACTGAATATACTATCTAATTGATTAATTGCAGAAATGGATGTTTCAAGCAGACCTCTTTTCCAAGATGACGGAAGGCTTTATTCGCTGCTGGAGAACAGTTTTCTTCTTTTTGTGTGTGTGTAAATTGTAACTATTCAATACCATTTACTTTCAATATCCCACAAATGGCCTTGAATGTCCTTAGCTATTGGTTAATCAATTTGGAATTTGCTAACACACGATACCAGGAAAAATGTGATAATTCAAGGATGTGACTCATTTTTGCAGCAGTAATTTAAAGAAAACAAAGACATGACTCAAATGAGCATGCACTTGATTGTTAGTGTTTGTTTATGTCTCTAAAGAAACCTCAAACTGTAGACTTCATAAAAGCACCACTTAGAGAACAGAAATCCCATTAGTGGGTAAACGCTTGGTTTGCTACTGTGTATCGAACGCAAACACATTTCAGATTTTGTGCTCAATGACGAACAAGCAAAATGTTTTCTTTTTCTATTTCCTTATTTTGATTATACCTTTGTAACATTCTAAAGGTTTTCAAGTTTACATAGAAATTCTCTAATTTCAAATTATGAGAGATAATAATATTATATTACTCTTATAATATTATTGTCTCTCAATAATTATACTTAATCCAGTATCTAGACATGTAATCTCCAGGTTCAGGCCCTTCATTGCTGTAAATGGCTTCATACCATAATTATGTCATTAACATTTCGTATGTTTTTCTTTGTGACACTAGCTTCTTCCCAAAAGAAGACATTTACCGTTGATCGCTAGATGGCAGTAATGTGATGTCTATTGACTCAAGATGTCGGCTGTTCAAAACGCATCTTGGATAACATTTTACCCAGAAGTATTTTTTCTTCTCTATGTGGCAGTTTAATTTTTGTAATTTTGACACCATTAACCCATTCAGACCCTGTGTCCATTACAATGGACATCACATGTCAGCCCCCGTCTTTTAACTTCTGGAGCATTTCACCTAGTTTAAAGCCTGCAGTCCATGAGATTGGAGGTTTGTCATCCAATCAAATGCCAGTAAAGCTCTGCATGTAGTAATTATATATATATATATATATACTGTATATATACTGTATATATATATATATATATATATATATATATATATAAACCTCTACATTGAAGAGAAGCATGGCAGCACTTCACTCCAAACACAGAAGCAAACAACATTTTCTAAGGTGTATTTACATTTTGTATATATTTTTGCCAGTATTTCATAGTTTGTATGTAAAATAGAAAGATTGGACTTATTAATTAAAGTTAAAAATCGACCATAGAATTGCATGTTTTAAATCAGGATTTTTTTTTTAAAAAAAGAGAATGGACAGTAGGTTTGAAAGCCTATTACTGAAGTCACATTTTCAGTGATGCTGATTGAAATTTCTTTTATAAAAAAAAAAAAATATATATATATATATATATATCACAGTACCGA